TGAACACTAAAAATAGAAATATTTAATTTGTTTACCTGCATGTCAACATGACCAGTAAGCGACATCAAACTGTAAACATGTGCATGTCTTGTTAAATTATTGAAATATTACCTTCCTCAGAGATATTTCCAGTAAATATTTCAAAGGGGTTTGGCTGACAAAAACGTTTGGGAATCCCTGCATTACATGAACAAACATGAAAACAGCAATGACTTTACATGCCAAAAGTCTTCCAGGTTTGATTTTTATTTATTTTTGTCCAGACTTCCAGAATCAACAGTTACCAGAATTGAGATTACATGTAATCAGTTTCTATTTCTATTTATTAAATTTTAGGTCCGTTTTTGAACAATTCCTTTAACAAACGAAGGAAGGCATTCATATACAATTATATTTCGGTGTGTGCGCTTGGAAGCTCCCTCTCGAGTCAGAAACATCAACCCTCCTCACCCACACTAGCTTACTGTACACCCTCATGCTTATTAGCTCCATGTGTTTGACAGCCACCTCCGCTGAGAAAATGCAGGATAGCAATGGTGACGGCTATTTTTACGTTGTTTGCTGCCTCAATGTAGTGTTTCTGATGACACACACACGCACACACACACACACATATATATACAGTATATATATATATATATATATATAGATAGATAGCTTTCCCAGTCCTCACTCAAACTTCTAGCTGGAGTAAATGGATTACAGGTAGGGTTCAGCTACAGACAGCTCCCTCCAGTATCCCAATACCTGCCCTGATAAAATAATTATGAGGAGAAGCTTAGAACCTTAAGAAGCCTTGCTGATCATACAAAACAAACTCACTAAATCCCAGAGACTCGATATCTTTCTAAACTTTCCAGAACTCCCTTTAAGGACGGAAAGAGAAAGCCATGAAAGCCTGCCTGGTGTTGCATGGCATTTCATAATGATATTTACAGCAAGAGAGCAAAACTGAGATTGGGTTTCTCAGCATGTAAACAGAAACATTTCATCATCACCTCTGAGGTGCACTGGACTGGCGTTTAACACCCTGTGCCGCAGATAGATTTTTTTCACAGTCTCTTTTAATGTGTTAAGCAACTTTTTAAGACTTTATTTAAGAGAACATTATTTCTATCTAAGTTTAGTGAGCGGGCACAACATTTTCCTCAAAAGGGTGAATTGCTTTACAGCATCAACAAATGTACGTGTACAGCTATCCACTGTAATAATGACAAGGAAATATTTACAACAGTGAATTCCTCTCATTTAACTATAGCTACATTATTTATACTAACTGACTTTCAAAACTGTGATAAATTAACCCCAAGCAGATATATTAGTAACACTTTATTATACGGTCCAATTCTCACTATTAACTAGTTGCTTATTAGCATGCATATTACTAGCATATTGGCTGTTTATTAGTACTTATAGGCACATATTAATGCCTTATTCTCTGACCATGTTCTAGATCCCTGATCCCGACCCCATACCTAAACTTAACAACTACCTTACTAACTATTAATAAGCAGCAAATTATGAGTTTATTGAGGGAAAATTCTTCCCTATTCTAAAGTGTTACCTTTTATTTTATCTGGGGCTAATTTTATCTGAAAGTAAAAAGCTAAAATGTGGCAAAAAAACTTGAGTTTAGCTTACTTGTCGATTGAAACCCAAACATTCCCTCAGATTTCTTCATTTTGTAAATGCACTGCCAGTGTTTACCCTTGTTTCACCCCGTTGCCTGTCTCTATGTATTTTGGCAAGTCTTTGAATGCACTTCTCTAACCAAATCTTTCTTTTCTCATGTGACGCGTCAGCCATGGCTAAACACTCTCTGGCTCAGCCTGCTACAGTAGCCACGCCCCAAACTCTCGCTATTGGTTGAGCTGGAAAGAGATTGACAGATCTGAGTGGACTACTCTAAATGTTTTGATGGGGCCTGGGTGGCTCAGTGTTTACACTTTTGAGAATATCAATGATAGCATTGAGTCTGCTGCAATTTTATTTATTTATTCTTTTTACATTTAATAAGGAACAATACATGCCATGAAGACATTCCCTAATTCTCTTCCTTAGTATATATTCCCTTTATTTTCTTTATCAAATACATTTGACTAGTTTGAACACCCCTAGAACAAGTGCTGAATAAATAATTCCAATCCTAAAATTTCTATCAAGCTGGAAGGTCTGTCTGTCGCTCCTGCTGAGTGATGGGGGCGTGGTTTGGAAAGTGGAAGCTTTGCGTGTGTGTGAAGGAATAGGAACGGGAGTACAGCTAATTTCATAATGATCGACAGGGATGTTTTTACAGAGATGCTGAAGCATGTGCTGATAGGACAGGGTGTTCAATATATTGTATTTTAAATTGCATTAGAAACTGTAAATAAATTAAAATGCAATATTAGTTGCAAATTCATTTGTGGTGAGTTATAACACTGTCAATTTCTATTATACCATGGTCTGTCTGAATTCTCAATTCTGATTGGCTGGCAGTTATGCATTAAAACCGTTTAATGCATGGGTAGTTCCAAGTCAGTTTAATCACCATTCTATATTAATGTGCTGACAGAGAGAGAGATCGCAGATCGCGCTGCGCACACACAGAAACATTCAGGAGCACAGAAACTCATTGTCAGCGCTGCCCCACGACTTTTATTAATAAAATAGCTTAGATACTGTATCGCTCCATTATATTCCTCAGCAACGAGGAGGTAAAATCGCTGTATAAGTAAGTAAACTCACAGCTTCATTGTCTGTAGAGAGAGACGCACAGACACAGGTAACTCTCACACACAACTGTCATCTTTCTTTCTCTCTTTCTCTCTTGATCGATCGATAATTAATTGAAATATATGTAAGGGATCATTCACGGCTAGCTGTGCATTAAACAATTTTAATGCACAACGTGAAGGCAAAGAACCACCCGACACAAACGGAGTGCGTTAAAATAATATAATGCACAGCTAGGCATCCATTATATAATTAATTCAATTAAATGCTATAATTCGTTCAAATAAATGTGAACTTACCGCATTATTTCATCTCTGTGATTTGAAGCGGACAGAATGTAGCTCTAACGAGTCGTAACTGACGAAAACGTCATTTTTACCCTTCTGGTCAAATATTGCGCTGCAAATGTCATTAACAGCTCTAGGTTGTCAATGCTGGCAAATGACCATGGTATAAGCAGGATAATGGACGGCTAGCTGTGCATTATATGTTTTTAATGCACTCCGCTTCGCGTCGGGTGGTTATTTGCCTCCACGTCGTGCATTAAAATCGTTTAATGCACTGCTAGCCGTGGATTATCACTTACTTATTCATGACTAATATGTTACGTGTTTGCTGCTTTTACCTTTTAAATAAAAATGCTTAGAATGAATATGGGAAAGGATTGAGCTTGATGGGGGTTGGTTATAAAAAGTACAAGGTCGCTTGTTTTGCAAAATAAATGCAAATGTAATATTAACTGATGCATATGTTTTCTAATAATGTCACATTTCACCTCATCTACTGTCACAACTTATTCTTTGTTGACATGGCATTTCACATTTGACAAGTTGTAGATTTTAGAACAACTTTAATTTGCAGCTGACAAATGTGGCGACATTATAAGTTTGAGTTACATTAAAAGCAAAATGTGTTGAAACTCTCCCTAGTCTCCCATATACTGTCACCTGTCTGGATCTTTCTCATGTGCGTTTGTTGCATACTGATGCATGCTTTGTGTTTCGAAATGCTTATGCAAAAAGTGTCATTGCAGTTTTGAAGGTTAATGAGATATTCGACAGTCCAAAATTATCAGCATGCAGGTTTTTAATGACATGAGGGCATTTTGGGGTGAACTCTGTCTTTAAAGAGTGATTGAAAAGGTTCATTAATATACTGTTTTGTTCAGTGTGCTCTCCTTTCTCATTATACCTGTACTCGTCTCCTGGGTTTTCCTTATAGATCTCAGCCCCTTAACGCTCATTACCCTTCTGGTCAAATATTGCGCTGCAAATGTCATTAACAGCTCTAGGTTGTCAATGCTGGCAAATGACCATGGTATAAGCAGGATAATGGACGGCTAGCTGTGCATTATATGTTTTTAATGCACTCCGCTTCGCGTCGGGTGGTTATTTGCCTCCACGTCGTGCATTAAAATCGTTTAATGCACTGCTAGCCGTGGATTATCACTTACTTATTCATGACTAATATGTTACGTGTTTGCTGCTTTTACCTTTTAAATAAAAATGCTTAGAATGAATATGGGAAAGGATTGAGCTTGATGGGGGTTGGTTATAAAAAGTACAAGGTCGCTTGTTTTGCAAAATAAATGCAAATGTAATATTAACTGATGCATATGTTTTCTAATAATGTCACATTTCACCTCATCTACTGTCACAACTTATTCTTTGTTGACATGGCATTTCACATTTGACAAGTTGTAGATTTTAGAACAACTTTAATTTGCAGCTGACAAATGTGGCGACATTATAAGTTTGAGTTACATTAAAAGCAAAATGTGTTGAAACTCTCCCTAGTCTCCCATATACTGTCACCTGTCTGGATCTTTCTCATGTGCGTTTGTTGCATACTGATGCATGCTTTGTGTTTCGAAATGCTTATGCAAAAAGTGTCATTGCAGTTTTGAAGGTTAATGAGATATTCGACAGTCCAAAATTATCAGCATGCAGGTTTTTAATGACATGAGGGCATTTTGGGGTGAACTCTGTCTTTAAAGAGTGATTGAAAAGGTTCATTAATATACTGTTTTGTTCAGTGTGCTCTTTCTCATTATACCTGTACTCGTCTCCTGGGTTTTCCTTATAGATCTCAGCCCCTTAACGCTCATTTTTAACCTGATGTGCACTATTGTGCTTTTAACATTACATCTTCAAATTTTAAAGCCAGTCATGTAATATCAATCTCCAAAAGATTTTAAAATATACCCTCTTTTCTTTGATGTTGTGATATTTCCCTTAGACCTGGTAACCCATTTATCTTTCTTCTGTGTATGGTTTATTTTTCAGGACTACACACTGACTATGTATTTCCAGCAAGCCTGGCGAGACAAACGTCTGTCCTATTCTGAGATTCCTCTTAACCTGACGCTGGATAACCGGGTAGCCGATCAGCTGTGGGTGCCAGACACGTACTTCCTAAACGACAAGAAGTCGTTTGTACATGGTGTGACAGTGAAGAACAGAATGATCCGTCTCCATCCAGATGGCACTGTGCTTTATGGGCTCAGGTAACAATTCAAAATAAAGCAAGAAGCCCCAAGAAGCTGTGGTTTACAGTGAATTTACAACAGCTAAGGGGCGTTGTTAGGTACGACGCGAAGTGCCTAAAACCCCCTTAGCTGTTATAAATTCGAGCAAATAAAGTGTAATGATATTAATAAAAACTGTATTCTTCTACCAAACAATGTAGTTCCTCAGAAACAGTTGTGGTTGCTACAAAGATGTGGTTGAGCAACACACAAACGTAAACAAAGGTGTATGTTACTTTGTAGAGTAATTTACAACAGCTTCGAACGCAGCTCAACCAATCAGAATCAAGGACTGGAACTATCCGTTTTATAAGCATATATTTATCACCTAATAATAATTTCTAAAAATTGTAAATCTTTCATTTAGTATTTTGCCAAAGCATACACAAAATACACAGAACAGACGCTCTTGATTTTCAGGTAAATCAGTGCAATTAAAACACTGCAATATTTTAGAGTTTATTATTTATTTATTTATTTTTTAACAATTCGGAACAGTCATGTTCTTTAGATGTGGACAACACCAAACTGATTGAAATAGACAAGATTTATATATATGTGATACAGTTACAACGTTATGTGTATAATTAAAGGAACAAATTAATTAAGATAAGGATTGCATCTGACACGGTTACTACAGAGACCGTTCTGAATAGTCCATGATGAGAAGTTACTTATTGATTTATTTTTTTAATGTCAGATAGCCAGTAGTACTTAAAAGTTGGCATAAATGTCCATGTGAACCGAGCAACACGATGTGTAATTTAGCTTGACTTATGATATTGCGGTCAAAATAAATTATGGGAAGGGTTGTGAAAAATACATACCGCCATCGCAAAAATTCCTATCCTAATTAGTTTCGATTTCTCAGAGTCACCACAGTTACCAAGGTTTTATAGCATAATTAAAACAAATTTAAATCACCTGATGAATCTGTTCGGAACCAAATAACCAAATAAAAAATGCAGAATAAAATTAATGTAATTTATTATAGTTTGATGTTGTTGTTTATTTTCTACGCTTTCGGTTATACATGTTGTTTCAGCTTTTCTTTAGGGATACACACCGACTTTTTAAGTAAAAAAAATAAAAATCTATATTTCATAAATCATTAACGTCCCTGTTGGTGTAATGGTCAGCTGTCCCAAATACTTTTGTCCATATAGTGATAGATGGGCAAGACAAAATACTTATAACAGAACTCTTTGAAGGTATATAAGAAATACAGTTGACCCAGCTGACACACAGATATACTTTTGACATGAAAATGTTACCGTTAATGAGAAACTAATTAGGATTTATTGAAGTACTGCCTTCCTCCAAACTATTAACTACTCCAGTAAATACCGAGCTGCCTGGGGAAAGAAGTTAATTTCGTAGCTCTTCTCTCTCTCTCTCTCTCTCTCTCTCTCATCACTCAGCTTGACTTCAGGATCTTTTAGCACATGGTTTGTTGGCTGTGCACTGGTAGTTGGCATTACATAACCTCTCATCTCCTTTCTCTGGAGCAAAGAGCAATTAGCCAATTGTTTTAGAGCATGATTCATTGGTTATTAAAATCTGGGATATTATTGCCAGGGCCATTTAGCTCTTCGTTCATTAGAGAGCTAGTGTCCAATGCAATCTCATCTGTCACTAAACGGTGCAGTCCGACCAAAGGAGTTCAGCTCCTTATTCTCTCGTTGTTCTCAGATTTACATATTTGAAGAATATCCTGCCAGGTTTTGTGTAACCGCAGTGCGTCAACTGTCATTTGCTCTAAGACCCGTCACATTTTCACTCATACTGCTAAACTTGTGATGTAATTTACTGTCATTAACACAGAATATAACATTGTTATGCCTTTAAAATAATAGGGATTGTACAAAATACAATCGGATGTGATGTGCGCTGCGAGGAGCATTTGAGCAGCGGTGAACACTCTTTCGTGATGTGTGTTAAATTCCTGCGTGTGAAGAGGCGCTGTTATGAGTGACAGGAGGATATAACTTGAGGAATTTCCACTTGGGAATTTTATAGAGGAATAGTGGGAAGTCTCCATTCATACACCTGAACATAAGCAGTTAGAAACGCTTTGGCAGATGAAAGATCAATCCAGTATATTGTCTGTCTCTGATATTTTTAAATGATTAAAGTACATTTATGAGAAACGTTTTAGCCTTTAGCATTGTTTATACAGCTACAAATCCTATATTTTCTAATGCATTTTAATGCAAAATGCTAGCTGTCACAATCTGTCAAACATATATTCTATACACATCTATTAGACTTATTTATTTATTTATTTATTTTTTAAATGTGTCCTGAATTGATGAAGTGTGCAGGTGAATCTTGAATTTCACTAATGAAGGGAAAACGTCAGATCAACTGGTTTTCTAAACTGCTCAGAGGTGCATCTCATGAAAAACAGAGAAACGAAGGATGTAGGCACGCTTCTGATGAAATAAGGGTCACTATTGTGGACCATATTCACATTCATGACCTTACAATAGCCGAGGCATGCAGGTCGAAACGTACAGCTGAATACTCAATCATTCAAACCTTTGTAGACAGAACAGGTGTGTATTTCAGCAATATGCACCGTACTGTAATATTGAATAGTTACTGTAATGCTTCCTATTACAGTAGCCCACTTGCATTTTACTTTTTACAGTAAATATACTTTAAACAGATGCATACTTTAACACACACACACACACACACACACACACACACAAACAAACACATGTGCCTATACATAGTCGTGTCTTTTTCTTTTCTTTACCGTAATGACATTTTACTGTAATTTGCACTCTGACTGGTAAAAGTGTAATTGTAAATCCTGTCCAGTTTCAGTCATTGTTTTTAAAACTGTAGCCATAGTTTATATCAGGACATTCGGACAGAGTACACGGTTATATTGAGAACATGCCTAAGCATTATGACTATGTTGTTTGTGAACAATGACACAAGGGCTTGTCATTCTGATGGCACTGATATGTTCATTGACATTAATACTTTTGGGAGATGAATTAAGGATTTTGAGAAAGTTACAGGCTTTTGTTTAAAGCTGTGTACGAATTGTTTTGAGAAAAACAAGGATGATTCGAGAAATACATGAGTAAAACAGAACAGATCACATTTTACTGCATGTATTCTGTATTGGATACATTTTAAAAGTAACCCGCCCAGTATGTACAGTATGTAAGGTTTTTCTTCAAACTTTATTTAGAAAATCATATGGAACTCACAGAATGTTCTCATATAAACTCTAGTGAAACCTACAAACAAACCTGTACAGTCAAATGTATGTAAGAAAAGAGAGGTTGTTAATAACATTTATAGAAGAAATATTGCCAGCTCTCAATACCAAGAGGACTTTGACCCACATTTAAACAACATGTTTGGCATCTGTTGAAGTCACTGCAGCAAAGTGAGAATTTATACTGCTTCGATACAATGGAGAAAATAACATTTTTACAGTTTCAGGGAAAACACATATAACTAGTAATTGCTGTCTTTGTGTATAGGGACCAATTCTCACTATTATTAACTAGTTGTTTATTAGCATGCCTATTATTAATGTATTGGCTGTTTATTACACATATTCTGCACGGCCATATTCTTCATCCCTAAACCTACCCGATACCTAAACTAACAACTACCTTACTAACTATTAATAAGCAGCAAATTAGGAGTTTATTGAGGCAAAAGTCGTAGTTAATGGTTTGTTAATAGCGAGAACTGGACCTTAAAATAAAGTGTGACCGATAATGTTGCAGATAATGGACGCAGTCCTTGAATATTCTCTCCCAACTAATTTATTTCCCATTGAATTGCCAGTTTATCCTGCAGTTTGTAGTGCTGTACCTCGGACACGTTTAATATGTGCTACACAGTGTTTGTAAATTGTCCCTCAGTAACATTTCACTGCGTCTCAAGGTGATGGATACTGGTGCAGGCCGATCTCATTTGTCTTACTCAAAGGCTCTCTGCATAACAAAAGAACAAGGCATATCAAAGTGGACATTTAAATGAGAGAGTAAATAAATCAGCAATAAATGCAATTGACACAGCTACTGTTTAAGGAAGTACTTGTAATCATATTTTGTATACACATATATATCATTTATTTATTCATTTAGGTACATGTTTCATATTTATTACGTGAAGTGGAGAAAAATAACACTGAATTGGGTTTTAAGCAGAGGCTGATAAATGTATTCTCATTACCATCATAAAGTAACAGCATGAATTATATATTAGACACACACTGTTGTGTTTATATTCGATCATACATATTAAAGAAGTAACTTCTGCATCATCATCACTATATGAGACGGATTTTTATTTACCATTTAGTATAGTTATTTTAGTTATATTTACAGAAATTGTGTAATATAAATTAATAATTTTGTGAATTACTCAAGGCACATTTGCTAGAAACTCTAAAGAGAACAGAATTACACTAAAAATTGTATTTTATGTAATGTTGACTTTTTTGTGTGCTTGTTTTAAGCATAATACCTATGGATACATTAATTAGATGCAATTTTTTTAACAGTCATTTTTGTAATGTTTTTGTTCTTTCATTAAACTGAACATTAACAAGTTTTCAAATTATTACAGTCATTTTCATGGCAATCAAGCATATTTTTGTAAATTCAATAATATCAAAAATATCTCAACATTTTACTTTTGAAGTTGTTTGTAACGTTCTTAATAGTGATTCTCATTAGATAGCGTAATACAGTAATTGTTATATATATATATATATATATATATATGTGTGTGTGTGTGTGTGTGTGAGAGAGAGAGAGTATATGTGTGTGTGTGTGTGAGAGAGAGAGAGTATATGTGTGTGTGTGTGTGAGAGAGAGAGAGTATATGTGTGTGTGTGTGTGAGAGAGAGAGAGTATATGTGTGTGTGTGTGTGAGAGAGAGAGAGTATATGTGTGTGTGTGTGTGAGAGAGAGAGAGTATATGTGTGTGTGTGTGTG